TTATCTCAGGACCCTGCAAGATTTTGATTTGCTCCAGTGTAGAATCATCTTTTCTGCAGTGCTTTGCACAGTTTCATTTCACAGAGCTCTGGCTTGACTTGGCTGGTGCCCAAGGTCAGCTTCCAGTCATTTCGCCTTGATCATTTCTCAAAACTCTACAAGTGTCAAAGAGAGAACTGTTAGCTTTGCAAAGTACTGATTAGCTTCTCAGCCTTGTTCTCCTCTTTAAAAAGCAAGACAAGAAAGTCAGGGGATGGGAAGAAAGAGTGGAGAGAGAAAAAATCTGTCCCCTTAAAAGTCCCCTACCCCTTGTAGCCCAGAGGGTTTTAGTTCCCAACATGGCTTTAGTCCTGCTCACTCCAACACCAGGACCAGCTGGAAATGTGAGTGGACTCTGGGTCATGACGGCGGGTCCTGGCAGTACCCTGGCCCCACACACCTTGTCATTCCCACTGGAGGCCCAAGGTCTGGGGTTCCCTGCAGGAGGGAAGGAGTCATAGAGCTAAGAATAGGGTCACATGTGCCCTGGGCAGAAGAGCCGGGCCCTGCCAGTATCAATCCTGACCCATGATGATGCAGGGCCCAGGACAGAGACATGGTGAGCCTCCTCCTCTCACATCAGCCATGCACCTCAGTCCTTTGTGCCCAGCTGCATATGGGGCTGGAGTGGCTGCAGCAACCAGTCCTGAGAATCTCCTCAGTGGGAGGATGAGAACCTACATAATAGGGAGCACATTGGTTCATGAACTAGAGGTTAGGATGCCTCTGGGTTCCTGTGAAGGGTAGACAGGGATGGACTCTGCTTGTTTTCTTTCTTAGAGGGTGACAAACACTTATTGTGTGCAGCTAGTGAAGGAACAGAGCAGGCACCTGCCCTCCCTGCCCAGGAGACAGACAGGAGCATGGCAGGTTTCCTGATAATGGGGAGAGATGGCGATTGATGGAGCGCTTCCTCGACAGATGTTATCTGCCAGCTCCTGGCCACTGGCCAGCCCTGCCACTGCCAGGACAGCCCGCATGCTAAAGTGGGGGGGCTGGACAGTGGATGAACCCACACAAGGGGTGTCATGTGGGGCTGTGGGGAAGGACAGCCCAGGCCTTTGACTGTGCCACCCACCCACAATCCACAGCCCACAGCACCAACACTCCATTTTGGGTGTTGGCTGGACCAAGACTTGGAAGGTGTCTCTCTG